AACACCAAATTGGGAAGATAGATGATGCCACAGTTGCCATTATGGAGGATAATGCTATGACCTGCTGTGCCGTACAGCAGAGGAACTTGTATATAGTAAAAAGTGCAGTAAAGGCGTCTGAAGGCTATGCTGATAGAGCCCGTGCATGGATCAGTGACTGTATGGTGACTTCAACAGCCTGTCTGTCTTTCCTTCCCTCTCCCATTCCCCTTTCAATACAGGAGCAGTTTAGGAGTGTGCATTTGGTAAAATAAAGTAAAATCTATCTCAACTGTCTGTGTTTTCATCTCTGTCTTGGTCTGTGTTCTTTTTAATTCTGAATGCCCGCTTTGCACCACCTCATTGCAAGGACTTCATATGTGAAATGGACTCCCTTCACAAGGGGATATTGCATGATCTTTCATATTTCTTTTATGTATTTCTACTAACATTTATCATACAGCTTATTAACACTTGTCGGTCTGGAGCAGGCCAATATATCAAGTTTAACGGACATTTCCTGCTGTTATTCTATTTTTTCTTATTTTTCTGTTTTGCATATGCAGGTCCTCTCAGACAACAATAGTAACTTACGAACACCAAGAACTATACTGGAACAAAAGCAGAGTGGTTTAGGTATGTACATGCAATTGAAATTTTGTTTCAAGTAAGCAGACTTTCCAATGCCTTTTGTTTTGCACACAGATATATGATCTTGGATTTTTAAAACTCTTGTGTAAACAGTTCCAAATAGTATTTTGAATATAATATTATCTACTAATTCATTGGGACAGTATAACCCACCGAGTTCAGCAATATTTCAGCAGCAAAAGTTATTTTAATGGAAACTGGATCTTAGGGAACAGCAAAACAGTTGAGACTGTTCACTGATTCTTTACTCTAACCAAAGAAAGTACTCAGGGTTATTTTAAATTTTAAATTATGACTGACGTGTTAATATTTTTGTGGAATTCTTTGAAAGCAAAAGTCCCAGTATGCAACTATTAAAAACACTTTTCCTCAAGCGAAAATAAGTGTCTTCTGCTGTGGTCAATTGAGACAACTGAAGAGATGCTAGTGCAGTGGTCCCCAACCTTTTCCGTGGGGCGAGCGCCGTCAAGAGGCATCATTGAGAGGCAATGCCGCCGAAATTCGGCGGCATTTCGGCAGTAGCGCTTCTTGACGTTGCCGCTTCTCGGCGGCATTTCGACAGCTGCTTGTCTGGCAGCCAGTAGGCCCTGGTGCCCGCGGGCACCGCGTTGGGGACCCCTGTACTAGTGGGTGCAAAAAAAAACCCCAAAAAACCCCCTAGCCTCCTGTCCTTCACCAAGAAACTTTAGTTTCTAATGAGAGACTGAGGTTTTTGCACTGCCCTCTCATTCCCGCCCTCAAATATTTCTATTAATGGACTGAATAATTAACTTTAACTGTGGATTGTAACTTCTTAACTTGCTTTAATTCAGGAAATGTTCTTCTGCTGTTACCATGAAACAGGCATCTATTTGTATAGTTGTTATGCATTAGATAGGAAATTTTGCGCTGCTGAAAGTTAATTGTATCTTTTTCTGTAAATGCAAAAAATTGTCTGTTTTCAGAAATAACTAGCTTGGAACACATTAAACAAAACACACACATAAATACCTTGCATTGTGAGTTAGAAGTAAAAGTTCCACTATCTTTCCATTTAAGGCTTTGTACTTATTTGTATGTTTGATGGTTGTGATACTCTTATTCCTGTTACATTTTCCTAGTAAAATGTATACATCTGGTGGTCTTGACTACTAAAGCCAATCTTTCTAACTTTTTGCTAAAATTATACTACCCTTCTTCGATGTGACACAGTATAGTTCGTAGAAGCTGTTACATTTGCGTGCATAGTTGAAGGTATTACTTTGGTGAAAAGGCTTTTGCCACAGACCAGGCACCAATTTACATTGGCCATGATTCATCACATGTGCTAGTAATGTTTCCCACTGTTGGAAGGAAATAAATCACTGGGTATATGGCTGTTTTTAAATATACTGCCATGTATATGAAATACAAACAATGAAATCTGAACTGGGCCTCCATCAAGTAATAACATTGCAGAATAATAAAGAAGATTAAAGGAAAATACAAATTCTAGACAAAGTAATTTCTTCCCATTCTCTTAATTTGGATGTGATTTTCATAGTATGGTGGACTATGTAAACAGAAAATGTCTTCACACTTAAGTGTATTAATGGTATTTCATCAATTACTTGGTAAACCACTTCTAATGGTAAGATTGTTCATGACTGGGCAACAAAAGTATACAGGTTTTTACATGGAGGACTACTTAATACAAGGGTCTTCTTTAGGAAAGAAGTGAAGCTAAACCTGGTGAAACTTCTGCTTTAAATGTCTATGGTTGGCTGTGACAATACCTGAAATACAGATATAAGAATGGACAATTTGGTTAACATGTTTCACGTTAAATCATGAGTGATGGAAAGTGACATTTTTCTATGTAAAGTCTGAGGAAAATGTGTGAGTACTTGAAGTTACAGACTGCCATTTCAAGGGGGTCAATTTCCATGAAAGCAATAAGCAAGATTTTCCAGGTTATGTTTGTTTCAGAACTGCAGGTTCTAAAACACGTAACTTTCATGTCTTTTTATTTATGTTGATGCTAACTGGTAATTTTTCTTTACCGAACCTGACAACAGGAAATGAAGTCCCTTTGTTAAAATCCAGTCCTCTGTAGTCACATGTAGCAGAGGGTGGTCTGATATGTGTAGAAGCACAATAAATTATAGTAGTTACAATCTACAAGTACCACTGTGACATTACAAGCATATTGTGAATTGTTCAAGGCACTGCCAAAGGCTGCCTTTTGTGTGGTAAGAGCCAAGTGCTTGCATGCTGCATGCATCCCCAATGTGAATGGAAGAGCACCTGGTTGTTGTATGTATTTTCTCTAACTCCCATCAGGGTCTCACTGTGCGGGCCTGTTTAGCACCTCAGTACTCGGGGGTTCTTCGAGCGCACCTAACCTACAGGATTATGCTCGTACTCAACGTAAAAAGCTGACTTCTTCTGGCTGCATAGATGGTATGTGCACACTCTCTCAGATGCACACACAAATCCATGTGCACACATTGAAGTTCTAAAGATGAACCCTAGGCTACTGATTCAGTGGAATCCTAGAATCCTTTGCCTTAGCATTAATTGTACGACTTTTTACTGCCTCTTTACTGCCCATAGCTTGGTTATATTAGTTTAATGACACAGTTAATCCTTGTTCCTGGCTTCTCTATTTGATGTACCTTGAATACAATATATATTGAAAGATTTTCAGCGTGTACAGTTTCAGAACAACGAAGAGCTGAAAATGTAGTTGGAAGTGCTCATCGCTTAAGCCTCTGATTTTGATAATTACGTATTGACATTGAATTGAAACATATTACATTGCATGGAGTATTTACAAGGAGCCAAAAGGAAAAGACCAGTTTCATATTACTGAGTGAAAATTTTAGGATTCCTCTTTGGTGGGCGTGTGGGTGTGGATAGAGGAGTGGTAGGTTTTAGGCTTCAGTAATCTTGGGTAGAACAGCTTTCACAGCAGGTTTCAGCATTTAAAGAAAATGTGCTAATTTACTTTTTTAATGCTGAGGTCGAGCAGTATTAATGCAATTTTTCCCCAAATTCACTCTTCTCAATGTTCAGCTCTAACCAGATATAACTTTGTATGCCAAAATCACCAGTTCATCCTGCTTTTCTTTCATACACTTCATTAAACACCTTGCGGTTATCAATAAAGCCACATTTTCTACTTTTAACCTCTTTTTGGCCTCTAGCCCTTTCCTCTGGTCCTTTCTGCATGCCACTTAATTCTAACCTTTTGTTCATCTTTTTTCTTCTTTCCTTTTTTGAAATGTGTCCCTCTTTTGGTAGCTGTTACGAATTTCAGGTACCTGTTTTTCTCTTTCTCAGACACCACACGTGGTTCTGCTGTTAAAAGATTTTCTATCTCATTTGCTCGACACCCAACCAATGGTATGTTTTGCTTTTATTTAAAAAAAAATACTCCCTTGCTTCATCCCTTATTTTCATTTTATTTCAAATACGGGGTGTACAGTTTCGTCCAATCATCTGTCCTTCCTGACTTCAACCAAGCATAGTTCCAAACATATTCATAATCACTAGATACATTGATATAGTCTTAAATACCTCCTTTATTATTCATTTATATAAATATGATTTCAAAATTCACTCATCAGAAAATCTTGTAAAAATGGAAATATTGCTTATAATCATGAATTCCTTGACAAATTGCATTCTTTCCAATGTCTCAGGTGATCAGACTGTGTATGGTATATGATAAAAACAAACTTTTCTATTCTTGAATGGCATATACTTCTCAATAACTTAACATTCCACTTCTTCCTCTTCCTGCTGATGAGCTCCACTGTTTCCCTGAGCCTTCTGAATCTAGATAAAATCACAGTAACTGACAACTGGCATTTGCTACCATCTTCTTGAAGTTTCACTAGATTAAAAAGTAAAGTAAAATTTAGGGTCCATTTCAGTTAATCTGCAATTTTGATGACTGAACAGAAAAACTGCTACTTAACCTTGCCATACGTAATTATCAGTATGTTCATCATGTATGCTAGTTACTTAAATACTTCACTAATAATCAGTTAGAGTTGCCTTCGTCTTGCGTTGACCTCTTGAACTCTATGGTGAAAGCTAACTCATCTCCAGTCTACCATATTTTAATGAAACCTATCTTAACATATGCAAGTTGAAAGTATGAAATATGTTACTCATAATTTTCTAGCTCACTACATAGGCCCTATAGCATGCCCTTTTCATAGAAGTTGGCTTCAATCTTCAGCATTTATCACATCTTAGTGTAGATTTTTTCCAGATTTCTTAATTACCATTTTAAAACTGTGCACCACCACTTACTGACACAATACAGTGGCAGGGTAATAAGGTCTTGCCATTGAAACTGAAGTGAAAATAGTCGTAAAGATCTGTGCCATTGCCTTCCAACAAACAGTTTACTTAGAAGATGGTTTAGATTAAAAAAAAAAAACACATAGTTCTCACTTTGTTTTGCTTCTGAATAATTAAGTCATGAAGTAGTACTTTGAAATATTGTATCCATTTGGAATTTTTAGTCAATATTTGTACTGCAGTGGCTTCCTGAAGAAAGTGTTTAGTATAAAACTGTTAGAATCACCACCAAACCTGCAGTTAATAAAAAGTTTTAAAAGACTGACTTAAACACCCTCCTTGAAAATGAGAAAGGTGGGCCTTACTTATAAAATCAAGTCAGATAATCTAAACAAAAGAGCAAATGCTGTATTTAAAAACTCAGTGTTGGCAAAACATTTGAAAGTTGTAAAGTGAGACTAGATTCACAAAGTAGAATCTATGTTATGTAACAGTTTCAAAAAATTTGTTAGTGCTAAAGGGAACAGACAGCAACATACTTATTGTAACTGGATAATTCTTTATAAAAATCTCTATTTAAACACAATTACTTTATTGTGCACATTGTGTATTCTGATTCATTTAATATAAATGCTTTCCACATACCTTTTACAAGTTAATGCATGCCACATGTGCTCCTGTGAATCTTAAATGCATTCCCTGAGGTGTTCCAGGTTCCCAAGTGTTCTCTACCAACTTTTTAAACATATTGTTGTTTGTTTGTCTTCTGGATTTTCATTTGATTCTCCCTTTCACTCTTTTATTTCCATAACTTTGTGATGTCCTTACAACCTCTAACCCATTTCACAGACACTCTCCATCCCCTTATTCTCTCCCGCCGCCCCCCTTCATCTTTAGTTCAAGGAATACATTGAAACAAGTCATCTTCTGACAGTGCGTTACCTTATTTTCTGGGCCTCATGCAGAACATCCACACCTCTTTAGGTGCTGGTCCATTTCCTCTGTGGAATTTCTAAGCCCCAGTGGTATGTGTGTCTAGCTATTAAATGTAGGACAGCAGGATGGCTTTTTAAATTGCTGTGTTAACCCTTTCGTGTCTTGCATTTTGTGTAGTCTGGGTAAAGGAAATTTCAAAAAGTAAACAAACAGTTAATTTTTCTAAAATTTTCTTTTTAAATTCCTATGGATTTTCTATAACAGCTGTTACCGTAGTAGTAATAATCATCATCATTAATAGGCATTGAAACATAGGTGGGTTGTTGTTTTTTTGTTTTTGTTTTTTTTAGTAAAGCATGTGTCCTGACCTACCCTGACATTGTCCCACTAAATTGTTCGTTAGAATAAAATGTAAATATTTTGGAAAACATTTTCGTGATGGTAACACTTTCATTAGGTTAAAATTAAATCTTGTTGAACTTACAGTAATGCAAAGAAAGGGTTTGCACTTTGCATGCATGCATAGTATTTTTATATCTTACACTTATGCCAAACACATTTATTTTAGTGCTTATACTGCAGCTTAGTTGCTGTCATATTAAAGAAAGTATACATGAAGTTGTGTGGTGGTGTTTGTTTTGCATATGACAACTAAGTTTCTAAAAACATGCAACATTATAACTGTTATAGTGTAAGTGAAGCTGATTTAAGTACCCTTGAGCAGCTTGCATAGCAGGATTGGCTCTCACTTGAATCCAAGGCTGGGTCCAAATATGAATACAAAAGCTCACGAGTTGAAATTTTGTAGAATTATTTTCTATGTAAATGCTTAGTAATGTTTTTTGAGGGAGTTCAGATATTGATACCTTTACGCCCAAAAAATGTACCTTGAACTGAAATTCTAGACATTCTTTAAGTATTGTCTTTTCATTGAAATAAACATCTTGGAAGAAATATACCAATTTATAATTTTTCAGTTCAATACTGTAAATTTAATGTTGCAGCTGTATATGAGAACGCTAATGTGGACACGTGTCTCCTCTTTTGAAATGCTGTAGGATGCACGTTTCATTGAATGCTATCAAGCTTACATCAGTTCACAGAACTGCACTATTAACCATAGATATGTATTTTAAATGCTTTGTTTTATTTCATTAGGAATAAAAATATGCATGGCTGGTTTATGAAATATCAATATGTCTTTAGTAATATTGGAAAATAAAGTTAAATATCACTTCAGTTTTGACTTGGTATAGTTCACAGTTTTAAGTTGTGAAATTTCTAGTGATGTAAATTATTGTTTTAGTAAAGATAGGTATAAATGTGTGTTATAAAATTAAAATATAGTCTCAAAGTACAAAAATGCTGGTAGTGGTCTTGGTGGACCTTAAGATGGAAACCTAAAGCAGGTCTTGTTCCTAGAATACCTGAGAGGATAGAGAGTGTATGCTACAAGGTGTTGCCTGTCAGGAATGCCAATGTTTTTAGCTCTAAGAGCAACTCAGTTAAAAATGTTCACAGCATGACCATGCTGCTACTCCATCTTGAATGAATTAGCTACCTATATATTATTATGACTGGTATGGGAACAAGTAGGGAAAATACTGATATTCCCTGCCTTTTATAATGATTGAATAAGTTTGTCCGGAACAGTAGTTAACTTAATGTACTGAGCAAAGACTAGAGCAAAGATATATTTTGTATCTGTGTACACTGATTTATGTGGACATGGGTTTTGTAGTATGTAGTACACTATCTTGAGTTTACTATATGATGGAATCTGACATACCTTGTTCTAACGCCATATTGCATAGCATCTTATGTCATTACTTCAAGGATATTGTATGTTTGCATGTTTTGATATCAGACATGTACTTTATGTTCATTTTTATGCAGTGTTTCCTGTCTGTACAACAGTTCCATTCTGGTCTTATTTCTAAAGTCTGGAAATTCTCTCTCTCTCTTTATTTTTGTAGGTTTTGAACTATATTCCATGGTGCCTTCCATCTGCCCTCTAGAAACCCTGCACAACTCTCTGTCTTTAAAGCAGGTGGATGAATTTCTTGCCTCCATTGCTGCTACTTCAAGTGACAACCTACCGGAGATGTCTACTGCTTTATGTTGTAATTAATTTTTTTTTACTGTAAACCATAAACACTATTGGTCATAGTTGATCCATAGGCCATTTATCAAAATGAACACACCAAAAAGATTATCAGTGATTGGATGACTAACATAGCAAACATCAGTGTAAATGGGGTAGGATATGAGGCTAAAATAGGGAAAGAACAAATTAAGAATTACTTAGCCAGTTCATAGGTCTTCAAGTCAGCAGGTCCTGATGAAATATGTCCTAGAATACTTAAGGAACTGGCTGAAGAGATCTCTGAGCCATACACGATTCTCTTTGAGAATTCATGGAGGACAGGAGAGATCCCAGAGGACCCGAAAAGGGCAAACATAGTACTGGTCTATAAAAATGGGAATAAGGACAACCCAGGGAATTATGAACCAGTCAGCTTAATTTTGGTACCCAGAAAGTTAATGGAGCAAATAATCAAACAATCACTTTGTAAGCACCTAGAAGAAAATGAGCTGATAAGTAACAGTCAACATGGATTTGTCAAGAACAAATCATGTCAAACCAACAGGGTAACAAACCTTGTGGATGGGGGAGAGCAGTACATGTGCTGTATCTCGACTTTAAGGCTTTTGTTACTGTCTCCCATGATCTTCTTATAAACAAACTAGTGAAATATAGCCTAGACAAGGGGTAGCCAATTATTTTTTTGTCAAGGTCCAAATTTCTTGGTCAAGGTATAGTCAACCTGACTCCAGAGGAAAAAAAAAAAATAATATAAAAAGATTTGGGGTCATTCAGAAGTGTCTGGCGGTCTGGGTTTGGCCTGCGGTCCACCTATTGACTATCCCTGACCGAGACAAACCTACTATTGTAAGGGAGAGTGCTCAACTGGTTGGAAAACCGTACTTAGAGTAGTTAAGTGGTTCAGTCAAGCTGGAAAGGCATATTAAGGGGTCCTGCTTAGAGATCTGTCCTGGATCTAGTTCTAGTCAATATCTTCATAAATGACTTGGATAATGGCATAGAGAGTATACTTACAAAGTTTGTGGACAGTACCAACCTGGGAGGCATTGCAAGCAGTGTGGAGGACAATTCAAAGTGATCTTGACAAAATGGTCTGAAATAAATAGGGTGAAATTCTGTAAGGACAAATGCGAAGTACTACATTTAGGAAGGGATAATCAACTGCACAAATACCAAATGGGAAATGACTGCCTAGGAAGGAGTTCTGCAGAAAAGGATCTGGGGTTTATAGAGGATACAAACGAAATATGAGTCAACAATGTAATACTGTTGTAAAAAAAGTGAACATCATTCTGGGATGTAATAGCAGGAGTCTTAACTGGAGTAGTGTGTCCAGTTCTGGGCACCACACTCATGGAAAGAAGTGGTCAAATTGGAGAGAGTTCAGAGGAGAGCAACAAAAATGATTAAAGGTCTAAAAATCATGACCTTAAGAGGAAATATTGAAAAAAACTGGGTTTGTTTAGTCTGGAAAAGAGAAGACCAAGGGGGGACATAACCAGGGGTGAAAGTAACTTAAAGAACTTACCGGTACGCCGGAGTCCTGAGCGGGGGTGTGGCCTCAACCAGAAGAGGCGTGGCCTCAACTGGAAGAGGTGGGGCCTTTCAAGATTTAAAGGCCCTAGGGCTCCGGCTGTGGCTGGGAGCCCCATGGCCTTTAAATCACCCCAGAGCTACCAGCTGCAGAGGCGGCTGGGAGCCCCAGGCCTCAGGGGTGAATTAAAGGGCGTGGAGCTCCGGGCCCTTTAAATCACCGCCCGAGCCTGGCTGCCGGAGCTCCAGCAGCGCTTTAAATGGCCCAGGGCTCCCCGCAGCGGCTGGAGCCCTGGGCCCTTTAAATCACCGCCGCACAAGCCAGTTCAGTCCGGCACGGCATACTGGTTCTTGCCGGTACACCGGACCGGCTTACCTTCACCTCTGGACATAACAGTCTTCAAGTATGTAAAAGGTTGTTATAAAGAGGAGGGTGATACATTGTTCTTATTCACTGAGGACAGGACAAGAAGTAATGGGTCTAAATTGCAGCAAGAGAGGTTTAGGTTAGACATTAAGAAAATCTTCTTAACTGGAAGGGTAGTTAAGCACTGGAACAAATTACCTGGGGGGTAGGTCTTGTGGAATCTCGATCATTGAGGGCATTTTAAGAACAGGTTGACAAAGCTGTCAGGGATGGGCTTATTAATACTTAGTCCTGCCTCAGTGCAGGGGACTGGACTAGATGACCTGTTGAGGACCCTTCCAGTCTTACATTTCTATGATTCTATAATTTACCAAAAATGTTAATCAACTCTTAATGTGTTTGAAATACTTTTTCACTATGTGGTCATTGGTTTCTCTGGAATATGGCAAACTTGGAAACATTATCATACTTGAACCAATTAATCATTCTCTCATTTTAGTGAGATCAGTCTTCCCCACCCACATTATTGTAACTCTGGAATGCAGGAGAAAATCAATTTTACTACTGTCAAATATGCAGTACTTTGTGGTTTACACTATATTTCCACGTTGGTTGTAATTTGTTACAGGATATCTGTTAATCCCAACGTTAACTAAACCAAACTCAAATATGTTGTGCATCGTGTATGCTTTGTGGTGTGTATATTATGGCAAACAGATGTTAAACTACACAGTTAACCAGAAATACAGGAATAGAAATTATATGTTCAACCTGGCTGAGCTAATGTTGCTTCTGGAACCATAACATCTGTATTTCTTGTTTCTTTTTTATTATTGAATCTGAATGTTCCACATGCACAGTATCTTTTCATTTAATTTTCTTTCTATAAAAGATTCCCTATGCTACATGTTAATATTTAAATGGTCCTGAATAGAACTTCAAGTTTGCATCTCGTTGATGTGAATGTGCTGGGGATGATTGCCTTCCACTGTGTGTCTGTTGCTGCTTCTCTTGAAACAGTTTTCTGCAATGCTAGACTTGCAACACGTGTGGTTTTCACTGTGATTTTTGTACTTTTTTCATAGGGTGAAATGGGAAATGCAAACTTTTGAAGGGCATGTAAAGAAATTATACTTCTGTGGGAAAAATTGTACTTGCTATTCTTTGATATAGTATAACAAACAAGATTAGAGATGCTTTCCTCTTTCTAGTGTTTTTACTTTGACAGCACTTTATGAATAGTCAGTTTCATTTTTTACCCAGTGTAGTCAATTCCCCATCTTGTTTTATGTGTCTTTTATACATGAACAGATGGAGAAACATTTTTTTGAAATAGAAAAATGATTATAAAATGACAAAAATGTACAGGGAGGCTCACCAGCAGTTATACTGTGTTTAGGGGGAAAAAGGAGATTTTTAAGTGGATAGTGTTCCTTTAAAATGCGATCTTAATTTTCAGGATGCAATAGAAAAATGAGAAATGTGGACAGCCTAAAATAATTATAGTTTGCGATGTTGAGCGGAAACCTACAGGGCTTGCCACCTAGAGTTTGAGACCTCAAAGAATTAAATGGTTAACTGTTGGAAAAGAAGTGTGTCAGGTTCCCCTGTTTTTTAAGGGAGTGTTTGGCAGTTGGAAGGAGGAGGAAGTCTTAGTTAGCTGCTATGGGGAAGGGCTCCTCTGTTGGTGCGGAGTTGGCTTTTATTGGTAACAAGTTTTGGTACCTGGGAGGACAGGTCAGTGCTCTTGTTACTGACAGGATGGAGCATGAATGCTTTTGGCAGTGGAAAGAAGTATTTTTTCCCATCCTATCTCCCTTTGGGGGGGGATTCATTTGTGTGTGGACTTTTTCTTCTTCTTTTTTTTTTTGTCCTCTTCCTATGATGTCTTCTAGCGGTTACCAAATATCTATTTGCTCCGTTACAGGCTTGTTAATTAGACATCTCAGACTAGGTAGAACGAACAAAATGCCAGTCCTAGCAGCATTCCAGGCCCTGTCAAAAGTCAGGAGCACTTCTGGCAAAGCAACAATCACTATTCACTAACCTTATTATTCCTGGCAGTGTGAAGCTTTTGTGTTGCTTTCTTAAGATGGATCAGGCAGAGTTTCCTCTCCTTCCCTCCACTATGAATCCATGATAAAGACCAAAAACCCAAAATCCATGGCCGGATTCCATAAGTATGGAATTTTACGTTTTTGTCATTTTGGTAATGTGCAAATACTTGACAAACATTTTGTTCATGATGGTAAAAAAAAGACATTTTTTTTTTTTCCCCCTTCAGCTTCTTCAGCATCTTCAAGTTCACTGTCTGGAAGAAAAAGTTCTTTAAATACATACACCCCTGCAAAAATCCAACCAACACCACTTGCAGCCTTGCCTGAGAGGCTAGCAATAGAGAAACCAACCTTATGTAAGTAACTTCTGTCACAGAGGCAGAACAGCAAACTCTTTTTGCTTAAATATGCCCAATAGATATTCAAGATGCAAAGATTTATTACATATTAAGATAGTCTGCCATCTACATGTTGAATCATTTCTTCACGAATGTTATGAAATAGCTGCCTTATCCTTGTATTTGGAATCATTCAGATAGTCACAAAATAGATTCATTATAGCATAGCACAGCTACTTTAAAAATAACACTTCAGCAGTAATGGCTGAACTGAGGCCTCCATAGAATACAGATGTAGTGTACCCTGGTGGTTACAAAAAAACTTTCAAATTGTATTCAGGTGACTTGGTGGCAGTCAATCTGCAGTTAGGACTAGACTTCCAGACTTAGACTCAAGGCAGTTAGACACAGTGAAAAAATAATAATCGAGCTACTGTGTGTTAAATAAATCAGCAGAGAGGAAAGGATCATTCCACCCATGCTGGTGAAGGTCTGAGTAGTGTCCCACTGCTCCTCGTAGTTTTGTTGAGCTAGACTTGGGAAGGCTTTATCAGTTGATACTGATCAAATTCAGTGTTTCTCTCTGTGTTCTTAAACAGCTGAAATTTAGATACGCTAATAGCCTTGGAATGACACATACAAACAGAAATAAATAAAACTACCTATTAAACAAATTTTGAATTCTGACTAATTCTTTGCAGCTGTTTATCAAGTACATGGGGCAATTGTTACATTGTTATAGGATCATAGACTCAAAGGACTGGAAGGGATTTTGAGAAGTCATCTAGTCCAGTCCTTTGCACTCATTACAGGACTAAGTATTATCTAAACCATTCCTGACAGTCTAACCTGCTCTTAAAACTCTCCAATGATGGAGATTCCACAACTTCCTTAGGCAATTTATTCCAGTGCTTAACCACCCTGACAGTTAGGAGGTTTTTCCTGATGTCCAACCTAAACCTCCCTTCTTACAATTTAAGCCCATTGCTTCTTGTCCTATCCAATGTTAATATGATCCAAATGACACTGAGAGCTCTTTTTCAATTGCTCCTTTCCTATGTTCTTGGGTTTCTTCAGAGTGAAGCGATTTTTCTAACAATAAATTTAACCTTGTACAGTAAGGTTCAGTTTCTAGTGACTGATCAGTTTACAGCTAAATTCTGTAAATATATTGTGCAACAGATAAATCATAAAGAGAGTGACTAACTTTCACCTTAATCATTTGCCAATAGATCCATTCCAGTGAAGCCATTCTCCACAGGCCCAGTGTCTATTTAAGAAACAAAAATGATCCTAGGTTTTTTGCTAGCACAGACTGAAATCTTTGTAAAGTTCATCCACCTTTTAATTCTATCCAATATTGACAGGTTCTGTCTCCAAAAGAACCATGTGTAAATACTGAGTCCTATAAAGATAGCCTTCAAGTTCTAGATTTGCCTAGCAAGGCTCACTGTATGAGAGTCTGCCAACTTCTTACCCTATGTCTGTCCAGGAGATTTGAAAAACAGAATTATCTTCTCTATGTGCATTTACAAAATGCTGTTCTTTAGATTTGACCTACCTGTTACAAAATCATCCATTTGAAGGGTCCTCAGACTTTTCGGCCCTCCCTATTTAATACTTTGGTGTTACATCATTTTGATGGCTGTTATATATATTTTTGGGAGTAACTATGTTATCCCTTCAAGATGTCTTATGCTTGTTCTTCAGGATATGTCTTGTTTAATTTTTTGCTTCCCGTTGCAATGTAATCAGTCAACCATTTATCTTCTCCAGAGATTTAAGGGATATTGAAGTTTGTCTTCTGTCCTTTTTAATTGGCTATTTGGGGTCTATTGTTGCTTCCTGCTTGAAAGAAACTGACTGTTAGAGCACTGGAGCCAGTCTAACTCTCACAGCAGGGATACCATATAACTCCCCTTTTGGGTCCAGTGTTTTAGAGCCTTTGGCTGAGATTCCCCATAAAGCCTATGCACAGGTACATGAATCCAAGAATTTTTATTTATTTGACTATAGCTAACCATATGAAAGACTTCAACACTATTGTAAATGACTTAATAGTAAATGGTTGAACTTCTTCTTGTAAAAATTCCAAACTGAAACTGCCTTTCTATCTTCAGTTTATACTAGAAATTGGCTGCAACACATTTTTAAGTTGTTTGGCTTAAGTGTATACGTAAATCTGTTTAAAAACGCTGTCAAGAACAGTTTGTAAAAACTTTCCTTTATTTGTACTACAGCTGAGAAGCTTGAAAATATTTTTTCCTATCAACTTCCTGCCTCTTCATTAGACAGAAATAATTGTTTGTTTTTCTGTGGCTTTCAAGCCGATTCAGATCAATATAATTTGTTAAAATGTGTTCCCTCTTCTGGCTGTCTGACTTCTATAAGAGCAGATGTTAGAGGGTTCCACAAACAGTTGCTATTGGTGCGTTAATTTTTTCATCTGTGAAATTTGAATTTCAAGAGTGAATTGCTCAACACAGTGTAACAATGTCAAAGTAGGTCTAACTTTAAGTCCAAACATCTCAAAAGTGACTTAATTAACTTGATGCATCTGAAGAAGTGGGTTTTTTACCCACGAAAGCTTATGCCCAAATAAATCTGTTAGTCTTTAAGGCGCCACCAGACTCCTCATTAATTAACTTGAGTTACTTAGTGATTATAATGGGTTACTTGAGTTCAGTTTACAGCAAGATTGATGTAAGTTTTAATATTGACCTTTCTTTTGCTGTACAATCTTACCAGTGAGGGGTTTTTTTGCTTCTCTGCAGCTACCAGTGGACCCTCCAATGGCATCTCTGATGTTACTCCATCTCCTAAAGAATCTAGCTTGATGTAAAATTTGGTGATGAAACCCTTACTGAGAAGAAATGAAGGACTTCAGACAAAATTGGAAGCATCTTCCTTCAAAAACAATCTTCAGTAGGCATTTTTAATGGTAGAAAAGCAGACTAAATCTTGACTCAACTCTCCAAAGCCATTCATGTCTCTGTCTGTCTTGGTGCACTTACCTGTATATAAATTTAAATACTCTTAACTAGTGCACACTGTATATATTCAGCTGAAAGGTCTCTTCTCATTTTCTAAAATATTTAAAGCAAAGAGGTTTACTCAGTAGTATAATGAATTGCACAACTTTAATGAAAAAGCTGCACATCAGTTTTTTCAGTGTCTGTTTACTATATATGTATACGAAGCAAAAAGAAAAACACCCCAACCCAACAGTATGTATTATAGTGGCTCTCAAACCGCCACTGTAGTTGTCATTATAAACTCCTGTTTTCAGGGGGTTTATAATGTGGCTGTGAATTTTTTTCCTGGGCTGAAATTTGATGCGCATGATCTTGGCTAGGAGCATTTTTTTATTTGAATACATTTCCAAAGAAATCACTTGGCTCTTTGAGTTAAACAAGTGCTTCTTGCATTTGAATTTTTAATACCATATATGCTGCAGTAACTAGGCACAATGGGGTGAATTAAGGATGTTATATTTTCACTTTGAATCTCCTTGTTTTTTGTGTGTTTACATCAGACCCCTAACATTTGAATATACTTTTTATTTTGTTGTTTAATATACATGGTTATATAAGGAATATGTCTGTATATCCTCCTACAGAAAAAAATTCTGTTTATATATTTTCTTATTCTAAGAAATTCTTTTGTTTACTGAAAAGATGCCTTTATTTGCTACATAGGTTTGTTTTTTAAAAAGTCACTTTAAAAAAGGCCACAATAAAAAACAGGGTTTTTAAGAAGCAATTACAGTTGGTCTGGTAGTAAATTACCCTAGAAACTCTAAATATCCCATTTGTACATGGTGCGTCCTACCACCCTTTCATATGAAAGAGAAACTGCAGTGTTACCAGAATGTTTAATGTTTCAAAGTTTATCTGAATACTTAGGCTTCAGCATTTTCTGTAATGTTCATACCATTGGCATTCTAAACGCAGCTGTTGTCAACAGCTCTCATTAAGACTGTTGAAGACTTTATTAGAGCTATGAGAAGCTTTAGCAACTCAGATTATGCTTTTAAGTGGTCAGATTTTGTAGAGCAGTCATCCAGGTTCAGCAGTTTTGTGCTTTCATCTGTGGCATTTAGAATTATAAAATGTATTCAAAACATCACTGTCCACTTTTGAAAGTTCAAGTGGCTGATTATTAATAATGACTTTATAAACTGCAGTTAGACTTTTTTCCAGTTTAAATTACAAGAGATTTAGCGTCAAAGAAATATTTAAGCATCAGAGCCTTGTTTTCCTTATCCAGCAATTCTCAACGTAACTACAGTTACACTATGAACTTGCCACAGAGTCTGTACAAATCTTTAAACATGGCACATGTGAAATGGCTTCTAGAAAATAGTCCTACTAAGTGCTGACTAAATAATTGATACCAAAAACATAAAGGGTTCACAGTTGTATATTTCAAACATTTCATTTTCTATAATGTAACCATGTAGTATGGACAATGTTTGTCTTGCACACATTTGAATGTACACATCATGTTTACTGTTTTTTAAAAACACTATTAAAATTAAGTGTGCATATCATTCCAGTCAACCAAAGCTCTGGTTTAAAAATTTTGATGCGCTCCTAAATAAAAACAAGGTCAATGGCTAATTTAATGTCTATTCTGCTTTTTCATTAATAGATAGTATCTGACTTTCAGTATATTTACCTGCTTTTTTGCTCATCCCAGTGCAAAAAAGCTGAAATAAAACACGTTTAGAAATATGAATTTGTATAAGAATTGGAGGCAGTCATGTATATCATCATTAAAAGCAATCATCTGAAATGGGGATAGGAAAACATTTAGCGTCCCCCCCCCATCTGCAATTCATTGCATGTGCGTGCACTGCTGCACCGATGCAGAGCTCCATTGACTTCTGGGGGGTCCATATGGGCACAGCAGTCTGACCTCATGCAACAAACTGAAGGATCAGGGCCTAGAGTCACTCAAATATGAAATGGAAAAAATAATTAGAACAAGATCTGGGCAAATCAAAAGTAGGGAATCAACTTCCAGAGAAACATAAATTAAGTACAATTTAAGGAGAATAATAAAAAAAAAAAACCCTATCCAAACACTCAAACAGCCTACTTTTGACATTTTAAGCTACTTAGAGTAGATAGCTTCTGCCTGGGATAGGCGACACTCAAATTTGCGTTTAAAGTAAATTCTAGAGTAGGTTACAGTACATTTGATGGCTAAATTTACTAAAATGTACATACTCCAGAAACATTCTGTGCTGGCATGAGATGTGTTATGTGAAAAATTGAGGTGGATTGCTTTGTTGTTGAAGATAGAGATGAGCTTAAAATCCAGGTTTATAACAAAGTACTTTTAATCATTAACTATGCAGAGGCACTGGTCATTCCACAAGTAAAGAATTTTTCAAAATCAGTTTTATGTATCCCAGTCACACGCTGTCACTATCTTTGATCAGTGACTCGGGATTTTCCTCTCTACCATAAAGAGAGCAACACAAATTGATGTGGAGTCAGGACCAAAAGAATCAGCTTCACAATTCAAAACCTTTGGAAATAACTTAAGAGTTGTAGGAAGTTATATAATTACTTTACCAGTTTTTAAAAACTGAAGATTTCATAATTTTAAGTATCTTCTGGTGCTTCCAAAATGTGATGCTAATTTAGTCCTTCTCAGTATCATGTGTAAGATGGCAGCTGCTTGTAATTTTATTATTTAAGACAAATACTATTCCTTGTCACTGTTTCTTGCCCCATCCTGGTGGAATAGAATAGAGCAAGGAAGCCAAAAGCACAAAGATGTGTTTCAACTGTGATGAGAACTCTCAAGATCCACAGACGGGGAGCTCTGGCATGATTGCTCCCCGCCCATAGAGAGCACCCTCATTCAATCAGTGGGATAATGGCAGCTGGACTGCTTTTTTGGGGCCTCCACATCCCTTCTACAGCCACCTGGAACATCTCCAGAGACGCGTGCAACAGTGGGTCAGTCCTTTCAGCCCTTGGGACTCAGCAGAATGGACCATCCTCACCAAGCAATGATTTCTCAGAGGTAAATCCAAAAATCCTTCTGAATTTAACAATGCAATCCACCTCTAAAGAGAGAAACTCCATTGTCCAATCCCAGTTAAGAGGGAGCAAAGAGGCAAATTCATAAATTACCAATGTAGATATTGTAGTTTTAAAGTCGAGTGAATAGGTACGTTCACAGGAAGACGTAAAGCAGAAGGACACCTTGTGACGGGTTGGATCACAGAAACCCCCTTGGGAGCTGCCACCCGATGTGCAAAGACTACCCCTGCTCCTGTTTTCCCTGCCAGCTCAGGACTCCGGCACCCTGTCTTGCTGAGCTAGACACTCCCGTCTGCTCCAATACAGACCCAGGGTCTGAATTACTTGCCCCAAAGCTGCAAGTTTACCTGAAAACAGCTCACAGAAGGATGCTGGTCTTTAGCACCCAGATGCCCAACTTCCAATGGGGTCTAAACCCAAATAAATCCGTTTTACCCTGTATAAAGCTTATTCCAGGGTAAACTCATAAATTGTTCGCCCTCTGTAACACTGATAGAGAGATATGCACAGTTGTTTGCTCATTAATACATACTGAGTTAATTACTAAGTAAAAAGTGATTTTATTAAATACAGAAAGTAGGATTTAAGTGGTTCCAAGTAGTAACAGAACAAAGTAAGTCACCAAGCAAAATAAAATAAAATGTGCAAATCTATGTCTAATTAAACTGAATACAGATAATCTCACCCTCAGAGATGCTTCAGTAAGTTTTTTCTCAGACTGGACACCTTCCAGGCCTGGGCACAATTCTTTCCCCTGGTACAAGCTCTTGTTTCAGCTCAGGTGATAGCTAGGGGATTCTTCATGATGGCTCCTCTCTCTCCTTGTTTTCTTCCACCCCTTTATATATCTTTTGCATAAGGCGGGAACCCTTTGTCCCTCTGGGTTTCCTCCCCACCTCACTGGAAAAGCACCAGGTTAAAGATGGATTCCAGGTCAGGTGACATGATCACATGCAAGGGTGAAAGTAACTTACAGGACTTACTGGTACTGCCGGAGTCCTGAGGGGGCGTGGCCTCAACCGGAAAAGGCGGGGCCTCTCAAGATTTAAAGGCCCTGGGGCACTGGCTGTGGCTGGGAGCCCCAGGGCCTTTAAATCAACCCGGGGCTCCCAGCTGCAGAGGTGGCTGGGAGCCCCCAGGGCTCAGGGGCAAATTAAAGGGCCCTTTAAATTCCGGCCCCAGCCCAGCCGTCGGAGCTGCGGGCGGGATTTAAAGGGCTCTGGGCTCCCCACAGCTGCGGGAGCTCCGACCCCTTAAATCCTGGCTCTAGCCCGGGCGGCGAGCTGCTTGGGCAATGGATGCTGTGTCTGGGCCCCAGTAAATATCCCTGCTCGGAGCTGCTCCGTGCATGGGCCCTGCTCAGCACCAATTTGGGGCCCTGGCAGGCCTGGACCCCTCCCTGGAAGGGGTGAGCATGGTAGCACCCCACAGCGATGCTGCCTGCAGGGATGTGGGGACTCTGCAGGCTGCCCTTGGTGGGCACAGCTTGGGCATCTCAGTCCTTGGGCAAGGCAGTCTGACCCCTATGCCAGGCCCGGCCCCGCTCACGCCGGCACAAGCAGGGCCAAGCCCTCGCGCTGGAAGCAGAAGGGCCCAGCCCAGAGCTCCCCTAGTTCCCCCTCAGGAATGGACAAGCTCCTGGGCTTTGGACTCTGCTCCTGTGTGGGCCTGGGACTTTGGGGTCCTGCCCTGGCGCTCCCCAAGCAGTGATTGCTCCAGTCCTGGGCCAGCCTCTGGCCCTGCCACCAGCCAGGCTGCCCCACGGCTGCCTCCCTTGGGCGAATCAAACTTCCCCCACGCTGGAGGGGCCTGGGGAGGAAATGTGCCGGGGCAAAGAGGGGCTGCTCATCCCTGATCGGGGGGCTCTGGCTGCCCCTGGACAGGGTGGGGGCAGGGTGTTCCAAGAGCCAGTTCCACCCCAAAGGGACCGTTCAGTCACTGAGCCTGACCCCTACCTAGTCCAGGGCAGAGCCCCATGTCCAGCTCACAAGGACTGCTAGCCCTCGGCCAGCCCCCCGAGGTACAAGCCTCTGGCTGCGGGAGCCGGCCCGGGAGCAGAGCCGCTCTCTTACTGTGTTTGCCCTGAGCTCCCTGCTAGCCACTGCTCCCTGGGGCGCTGACGGACCGGGACCACGCAGCCCTTCCCCGGACATGTTGCCCAGCCCAGTCCCGCTTGCCCAGGCCTCGGCTCCCCACAAAGCGCTGTCCCAAGCCCTTGCCTAGTTCTCACCCTCTCCTGGGTGCATGGGCCCCAGCCCAGCCGCTGGAGCTGCGGGCTGGATTTAAAGGGCTCTGGGCTCTCTACAGCGGCAAGGAGGTCCAGGCCCTTTAAATCCCAGCCCCAACCCAGGCGCCGAGCTGCGAGGGGGGGGGGGGGGGGGTG